CCATAATAATAGAACACTCATATCACAGGATGGGAAGACCCTTAAGGTCTTCTCATACACCCCCCTCTGATGTCCAACTCTTCACTTCAATGTTCCTGACAAGGAATCATCATTTCGCTTGAATGCCTCTAGTCACAGGGACCTCACTGCCCACTGGGACATTTCAAACATCTCACTTGCTGATTCCTCTAATGGTTAGAAAGTTCTTCCTGACCTCAGAGCTTAAATTTGAGATCAAATAACTTCCACCCGTTGGTCCTAGCTTTGCCTTTGAAGTTTCACACACACACACACACACACCACACACACACACACACTCCCACCCCTATCTCTTTTCCCCAAGACAGCCCTCTCCTTTCTATGCTGACATGGTTTTAAGTGCCCTCACCAGTCTGCCTACTGCTTTCTGGACAAGATCCAGTTTGTGAATAACACATCTTCAGAATGTGGTGCCACACTGAGAGACGTAAAATCTCTGCCGCAGCTGTTAGCAGTGTGAAGACACACATGTGTGTGCACGTAGAAATGAAATTCCTGGAGCTGTGTTTTCATGCACTCCACATTTCATCCCATATTGTTGAACACCTTGCTGAAATCCCAGTGTATTACATCCAAGGCATGCTCTTGATTTATCATCACATTTGCTCTATCAAAAAAGGAACTAAGAGGGACTTCCCTGGTGGCTCAGTGGTTAAGAATCCGCCTGCCAACGCAGGGGACACAGGTTCGAGCCCTGGTCCGGGAATATCCCACATGCCGTGGAGCAGCAAAGCCCGTGTGCCACAACTACTGAGCCCATGCACCTAGAGCCTGTGCTCCACAACAAGAGAAGCCACCACAATGAGAAGCCCGCGCACCGCAACGAAGAGTAGCCCCTGCTCACCACAACTAGAGAAAGCCCATGTGCAGCAACGAGGACCCCATGCAACCATAAATAAATAAATAAGGAACTAAGAGGACTTCCCTGGTGGCGCAGTGGTTAAGAATCCACCTGCCAATACAGGGGACACGGGTTCAAGCCCTGGTCTGGGAAGATCCCATGTGCCGCAGAGCAACTAAGCCCGTGCGCCACGACTACTGAGCCCACGCACCCTAGAGCCCATGCACCACAACTACTGAGCCCTAGTGCTGCAACTATTGAAGCCCACACTCCTAGAGCCCGTGCACCACAACGAAGAGCAGCCCCCGCTTGCCACAACTAGAGAAAGCCCGCACACAGCAATGAAGACCCGACACAGCCAAAAAAATTAATAAATTGTTTTTAAAAAAGGAACTAAGAAAGAAGGAAAAATGCCCAGGAATGGGCCCAGCCCACCATGTGTGGTTGACAGCACAGGGATGGGCAGGACATGAGCCTTCCTTGTTCTGGACACTAATTTATTAATTCCACCTCGGGTCACATTAACCAACATGGAAGCCAAAGCTCATCACTGACTCAGACTGTGCTTTGGGCCAGGTTACAGGCTCAGATTTTGGCTTAAATAAAGGAGAAACAGAAGAGTTGGTAAGACAACATATGATGCATTTCACCATATTCCACTCCGGAAGAGGCCAGCATTGAGCTTCCGAAGAGGCCCCTGGGTGGGATTTTGTGCAAAGGTCCTGCAAGGGGTGAGGAAGGAGGGAAATGCTCTGAGTCGGTCAGGTGGATGAGGTATAGTTCACAGAGAAAGTGGGGGCTTCCGCCAAGACTGGGCAGAAATGGGGATGGAGTGACAGGGACAAGGGCTCTCCAGGCCCACGGAAGTCGGCAAGGAAGGCTGCTGTCAGGGGCATTTTGAACGCTTCTAGGGCAGAGTATCCAAGAAACAAGGGTAGATTCCAGGGCCGAGCCCCAGCATGAAGCAGCAAGGAAGCAATCTTACAGACAGCGAGCCCACGGAGCAAGGACCCCAGCCAGTATCTCTGGCTTCTGCCCCACGGAGGCCCAGGGGTCCTGGGTGGTCCCAGGGAGACAGAAGCAGGCCCAAGAGGTGAATAAGGCTGCACTTCCAGCCACCCCCATTGGGGAGCAGAATAAGTCTGACTCACAGAAATAGAGGCCTGTGATGCTCTACTGCAGAGCCATCAACACCCACCATATCTGCGGCTCTCACTCCACGGATCTTCCCCTTCTGATGTTATATTGGGTTGGCCAAAAAGTTCGTTTGGGGTTTTTCCCATCAGGTGGAAAACCCCGAACGAACTTTTTGGCCAACCCAATATATTTGGTTTGGGGGACCCAAGTGTATTGCTTATATAGTAAGCCCCCTACACACGAACCTTCAAGCTGCGAACTTTCAAAGACGCGGACGCGTGTCCAGTCACGTAAGTCAGTGCACGTGTCTGGCGTAGACTGTCGCGTGCATGTATCCTCTACAAGTGGCTGTGCTTTTGTGTCCTTTACTGTACAGCACCATACAGAGCACAGCAGTACAGTATCTTTATTTCAAGCCCAGGATGTCCAGAAGCAAGAGTAAAAGCAGTGGTGATGTAGCTGGTACTACTGTACTTTTCAAGGTACTGTACTGTAAGATTCAAAATGTTGTAGTGTTTTGTGTTTGTTATGTATTACTTGTGTGAAAAGTATTATAAACCTATTACAGTACAGTACTACATAGCTGATCGTGTTAGCTGGGTACCTAAGCTAACTCTGTTGGATTTAGGAACAAATTGGACTTACGAACGCACTCTCGGAATGGAACTTGTTCGAATGTAAGGGACTTACTGTATTTACTCATGGTAAAGTTTTCCTTTCACACATCAAAGCAGCCTTTTCAGTCTCCCAGAAATTCACCTAACTAGACTATTATCCATTCCACGTATCTCTGCTGTGTTCATGAGGACATATCGTCAAATGCCCAGCAGAAACCCAAATGTCCTCTATCTGCTGCATGTTCCCAATCTATCAGCAGTGACCTGCTCAAGAAAAATGAAAGTAGGAAACGACAGAAGGAAACAAGGTTAATCTGGCCTGCCTGGCTCTTGGCAAATCCACACTGGCTCAGAGGGGTCCCTACTGTCTCTCCTAAGGGCTCATCAAATCTGGTCAAACTCACCGCCAAAGATCAGGCACCCCACCCCCTCCCCAATAAATGTGCCCGCGCTGGTCTCCTGAGGTTTATGAATCAGAGTTCACAAGCAGACGATGAGGCAAGCAGCAGGAGAGAGCACAGGGAAACAGGAAGCCAGACTACTGATAAACATTTTCCTTTTTTTAATTAAAAAATTTTGTTTATTAACAAGACTAAAGAAAACCTTCATTGAATCAGGGGATGTAATACAAATTATAGTGACCTGCATATAAAACCTGGCATCAAGTTTGGCCTTTTAGAAAGATTTATATATAAAAATATGCATTAAAACCTGCACCAGAACACAGTGCAGAGGTTAACTGACACCCCCGAAGGGAGGGCTTACCCAAGGTGGTCTAGTCTGTGGATGCAGGGAGCTCTCGGTCCGACGGCCTCAGGGGTGAGCCTTATGTGACGATGGCCTGCTGGGAAGGAGCCCAAAAAGCTTGTCTCTTTGAAGGCAGGACTCCTGTGAGCACCAAAATGCCACTAGCCTGGCATAAAACAAAAATGGTGCTGGGAGAAGACAGACAGGAGAGAGGTCTGTCCTCCTTTTCCTCATTACTGGGCTCTGACCACTATTTGAAGATTCTGGAACTCTGCAGACAAACCACCTTTAACTTTAGAGGAACTTTTGCAATTTCCAAATATGTCTTTTCCAAGTAAGCTACCCAATTCTAACTCAAGGAGCCAAATCATAATTGGCCTGATTTTAAGGATTAAGAGCTAGTTCTGATGTCATTTTCTACAGGCCAAGACCCTGAAATACCTATCAGAATGGCTATAATCACAACAGAAAAGCATGGTGACAATGGTCTCAATCTATTTCGGTCTTGGACCCAATGCGACCAAGCAATTCTAGCCCAGAAGTTATGCTTCACAGACACTGAAACAAGCAGCAGCTTTGATCAACGCTGCAATTCCCCCATCCTGGGTACAAACTATCTCTGCACAAGGCAACTGAAGCCTTTGGGAAAAGCCGGGTCAGTATTGTATATCTGTCCTCAAGGAGGAGGATGCACTTTCTTCACTGATGAGCCTGTCATTTTGGCTGAACAGGGTCACGACTGTTTGACCATTGGCTTATTCACTTATGGAGGAGCTGCTGTCCCTGGTCTGCTCGTCCTATGGTTCTGTGGACAGGGGCAACCATCCCTGACTCAGTTGCTAAGCTGCTGCCCAAACAGCAGGGCTCCACAGATGGGAGACACACAAATGGGGACCTGAAAGAAATGGAGGGCAGGCATAGGGGAGTGCGAGGAAACACAATGGGGGCAGGCGAAGACGCGGCCTTGTGGGCCTTCAGTAGTCAGCAAGGACAGCCAGGGCGTCTACAACTTCAGAGCGCTGCGAGTTTATGAAAGGGCTGAAAAGTTACTGAAGGAGTCCTTCCTGCCATGCCAGTGGGCTCTACAGGGGGAAACCAGCCGCCCTACCAGTTTCTATCCAAAAGCAGAGTGATTTTCTCAGCTGCCTCCAAGGTGTTGTTTTTTTGTTTTTTGTTCTTCCTTCCAAGCCCTCGGCTCCACTGTCCTGCTGCAGGGTGATCTGATGCTTTTCCTCAACTGTGGCAATAAGTGAAGTGAGGACAAAAGGGTCTGAACCACAATTTAGGCAAAAAGCCTAGAGCCCAGTCGGGCTGTTAATGAGGGGCTTTCTCTCTCAAGGTAGTGTAAAACCAGACCAAAACAGCAGAGGATACTTGGCCCAGTTACTATGGCTCTTTCAGGACAGGAGGCCAACCTGCGTGGTTCCTTCACCAAGTCTTAGGGCATCGTAGTCCGCTAAAAGTGACCTGACAACACCCTCTAGTGGAAATTACAAATAAAACAAGGGCCACGCGTCCAATTTACTTTGTTCTGACACCACAGTGGTTTCAAGAGTCCCCATAAAACGGAATAAAATAACAAAAACAAAACATTCTCTTTAAGAATGTTATAATAAAAAAAGGTTGGCGTTCACAAGCCATCCTTAAGCCCCTCACTGCCAAATCACCTTCCCTCCTCAGCCACTCTGCCTTCAACACATTCTAAGAAAGGGGGACATGTTGTGGGGTGCGGCTACTGGTCCCCTTAGAGTTTGGGCAGACTGCCTGCTGGTGCCAGAATGATGCTGGAAACATAGAAGAGGCCCAGCAGAAGGTTGAGTTTGGCAGTCCTCTGGGGCAGTTTGTTGAAAGTCTGGCTTCGGAACTGTCTCTCAAGGGAAAAGGCCATGGGAATGGTGAGCAGGGGCAGTGCCAGGCTGATGCTGCAGTGCACGGCCAGGATGCTGAAGATCAGGTAGGGCAGGAAGAGCAGCGTGTTGTAGAGCATGTAGGAGAGAGTGGGGCCAATGAGGATGGCGAGCGTGACGATGCCAGCCTCCCGGTCAGACTCCATGTCCCTGGTATTGTTGGAATGGAGGATGGCCTCGGTGCTAAGGGCGAGGGGGATGGCGTAGACCAGCGGGAAGACCGCCAGGGATCCCACCTGGACGGCGTAGGCGAACATCACAGCCAGCGGGCCAAAAGTGATGAGGATGATGAGGTCTCCCAGAGCCAGGTACTTGAATCCAATTCCTAGGCCAGAAAACACAGAGAGTTGCTATGAGATCAGGGGCTGGAAACCGTGGCAGTCAAAAGGCAGGCTGCTGTGGCTGCACGGGGCATATTCTTAGGCTGTGAAGCGGGGCAGTGGTTGCATTCCCCTCCCCTCCAGAGCAAAATCTGACTTTTTTCTGCAGTGGCACAGAGGGACAGAGAAGACTAATCGTTTAGCACCCAGTTCAGTCTCAGAGTCATCCCCGAGTTTTCCTTCCTGCTGTCCCCCAACAAAGCCCTGCCACAAAGAGCGGGGGGCCTCCCAAACTAGTGGCTACCAGTGGGGAAGAGGGTAGAGGGGCAAAACAGGGGTGGGAAGTGGGAGGTACAAACTACTGGGTGTAAGATGGGCTCAAGGATGTGTTGTACAACTCGGGGAGTACAGCCATTATTTTGTAATAACTGTAAGTGGAAGGTAACCTTTAAAAACGGTATAAAAAATTGAAAAAAGTTGAAAAAAAGAAAAAAGAGCAGGGGGTTCCAAGCCACAGACAGCCCATGAAGGATCTCACAGGTCTTACGGTCCAGGGCTTTGCGTTTCTTTCATCCTCCACCAACCCCTGCAAGACACTGCTTCTGTCAGGAATGCCCTGAGATCAGCCCCTCACGGAATATCCACCCTAGCCTCTTACTTTTCAGCCACAACCTCTGGAAGCATCTTCTGGTTCTGAAAATCTCCAGTTAATCTCAGCGCAAGTTCAGGGTTCCCGAACTCCACCCAGAGCAACTTTCACCCACATAACGAGTAAAACAGCTAAAGACAGGGAACTTATAACATTGCTTCCCCTCTCTGGTTCCCAGGAAGTTAAAACACTAAATAATCCCTCGCTTTTCCTCCCATACTGCTAATCTACCTGTCTAATCCCCGTCTTTCAAACTGGCCCAGTTTCTCCATCCCCAATGCTCCATCCCCAAATCCAAGTCAAAGTCATCTTATGCCTGGTATACTGCAACACCCTCCCAACTGATCCCTCAGCTTCTGTTCTCATAACCACCTCCCCTCCCCATTCCTAATCACATCTCCACAATGCAGCCAAAATGATCCTCTCAAAATACTAAGCTAGTCAGGCCCCTCCCCCAACATACACCTGAAAACCCTTATCAACAAGTTGTCCTCCAGATAAAAAAGCCCCAGATCTTCCACCTAGCTCACCTCTGGCCCTGCCTGACTTTGAGCCCACCTCCCCTCCCCCCACATACTTCTTTCAGTTCCTCAGGGCCTTCAGACACTCCCCCAACCCCGACCCCTTGCCTGGCTAACTCATCCTTCAAGACTTTAAAGACCATTCCTCAAGGCAGCCTTCCTCAGCCCTAGACCACATTTGGTTCCCCCTGCAATATGCTCCACAGCACCCTGACTTCCACTTTCATAAACTCCATCACACTTCTAGTTTTTTTTTTTTTTTTGGCCGCACTGTGTGGCATGCGGGATCTTAGTTCCCCGACCAGGGATGGAACCCGTGCCCCCTGCAGTGGAAGCTCAGAGTCCTAACCGCTGGACCACCAGGGAATTCCCACACTTCTAATTCTTAATCTCTGTCTCTCCCACTAACCTGTAGGTTTCAATGAGGGCAGGGCCTTGTGTCTGGCCAGTTACCAGCTGGCTCCCCAGTGCTTGACACAAAGGATGAGCTGAACACAGAGCTACAGTAACAAGCACCTGGAATTTGGAACCAAGGTCATGAAAAATGTCCCACTTGGATTGAAACAGGCAAAGCAGCATGGAAAGAGAGAGAGACACCCACTCAAAGAGGTGATCCACACATATATTGCTACAGAAGCTTGGGACACCTCTGATCTAATCAAGCTACCAAGGCATGGCCTCAGGATCAGAAAATTTAAAAAAAAAAGACTATTGGGTCATCAATTACATTTTAAACAGCCTAAAATGATAAGGGACAATGACCTGTAAAAGATCTAAAAGCATGGTAGCCAAAGAACAAGATACAGCCCAAGTTTGCCTCCACACCTAGTGGTTGGGATTCTTTAGTGCTAAATGACCACCCTTGATTCTTTGGAATGAAGCATCTCCAGGAAAGGGTATAACAGGCATGACCCCTGATACCCCCAACACACAGCAAACTAATTCTGTACTCCCCAGGCAGTGTTTTGATAAATAATTTGGTTGTCTGAGGACATGCCCTGCAGGAGGAAGGTCTCTCGAGCAGCACCTCGGCTCCAATTCTAAATTAGGAAATCGATGTCTTGTGCGGCATCTCACACATTTAGGCAACTACCCCTGCCCAAGGAAGATGCCAGGCAGGAATGCTCCCAGCGCCAATCTAGCAAATTTCTCCACCAGCTGTCTGCTCTTCTGCATTTTTTCTCAGATCTCCAAGCAGACTTCGGGGCTCTTGACCTCTGGCAAGAGTACCCAAGAACACCACCTTAGATCGCCTGGCAAAAAAACAACGTGAGCCAAGCTTCTTGAGGTTATCTGACCCCAGAAAATGACAAAGCCCTTGAGCAGAAAGCCCTGTTTCCTGAGCGTCCGACCCAAGGCTCATGTGCTCCACCTGATTCAGAGATGTGGCCCACCTGGGAGTTTCCTTTTAGGCACTCCCCTCCTCCCAACACCATTTTCCACATGAGCCAGCACAGTGAAACACTGGGCCAGTTCTCCACACAGCAGCCAGAATGAATTTCTTAACACATAAATCAAAATGTTGGCATCAAAAGGATGTGGAGTAAATGGCACTCTCATGCCTCGCTGGTGGGCAGGTAAAAGCGGTAGAAACACTTCAAAAAACACTTTTCTCATAAAGTTAAACATCATCTACCCTATGACCCAGTAATTCGATTCCTAGGCATTTACCTAAGAAAAATGAAAACAAATATCCACAAAAGACTTGAATATGAAGGTTCAGTCATAATAGCCAAAATATGGAAATAATCCAAAAGCCGCTGAACAGGATAATGGATAAACAAGTTGTGGTTTGTCCATACAATGGCTACCTCTCAGTGATACAAAGGAACTACTGATACACATGACAACACTACGAAACTCAAAAACAGGCACAAGATTTCATACTGAATGATTCCATTTACATGATGTTCTAGACCACGCAACAGTGGTCGCCTCTAGATGGGGTGGGAAGAGTGGGGTTGACAGGGAAAAAGCACAAGGAAGCTTTTGGGGGTGACAGAAATGTTCTGTATTATGGTAGGGGTATGGGTTATACAGCTGTATGTATTTGTCAAAATTCATCAAACTGTAACGCTTAAGATCCATGCATTTCACCATACATCAACTGTATATCGATAAAAGTCAACATTAAAAAAAAACATAAACCAGGGCTTCCCTGGTGGCGCAGTGGTTGAGAGTCTGTCTGCCGATTCAGGGGACGCGGGTTCATGCCCCGCTCCGAGAAGATCCCATATGCCGCGGAGCGGCTACGCCCGTGAGTCATGGCTGCTGAGCCTTCGCATCGGGAGCCTGTGCTCCGCAACGGGAGAGGCCACAGCAGTGAAAGGCCCATGTACTGCAAAAACAAACAAACAAACAAACAAACAAACATAAACCAGATTATGTCATTACCCTGCTCAATACATTTCAATGTCTCCCCATTTGTTCATTCAATAAATATCAAGTACTGACTACTTGCCAGGCACTGGTCTGGGCATGATGGAGAGAACAAAGAGACTAAAATCCCTACCCCCTGGGAGCTTACAGTCTAAGGGGGAAGATAACTAACAAAGTAAGTACTTTACGTGGTTAGAAAGTAATACGTGCTATGAAGAAAAAGCAGAGGAGAGCAATAGGGAAGGCACTGTAGGGGAGACACAGGGTATGTGATTTTATTTTATTTTTTTCAGCTGCTGCAGAAAAAACTTGTTATTGTTTTGTAATTTTAAATAGGGTAGAAGCTGACATTAGAGCAAATGGGTGGCAGTTAGAAAGCAAATCACACACACAGATG